CCCCCCCCCAAAAAAAAATTAATAATTAAATTATTTTTTTAATTTACTAAAGGCAACAATTTGTATTTTATTCTCAATATGTACACACACATTCATTATCCTGTGCCTAACATGATGAAAAAGGCTTTGTTCATGTTGCTTGTCCCCTCACAATTGGCTACATGTTACATAGGTCTTTCAGTTCAAAATGGCCAAATTAGACAAAACTATATTAGTTTGCCAAATTATTTTTTGTCATTCGTTTAACATTTATGACCAACAAAACTGTCAAATATATACTTACATCTTATCTCGCACTTGACCGTACACTGAAGCATCGAGTTGCACTGTTAAAATTCGCGCTCAGCGTCTGTGAACATAAAGCCCGCCTACTTTGATTTGATTGGCCATCTCAAATATTCTGACATTGACTAGCGGTGACAGACCAATGAGGCTCTGAACACACACCAGAGCCGGCCCGAGGCATAAGCGAACTAAGCGGCCGCTTAGGGGCCACCAGGGGGCCCCCTAATCGGGGTTATTTTTTATTTTTTTGGATTACTTAAACAAGTGACATAAATCAATGAATGAATGAATATGACTGAATGAATCATTCAAGACAACAAAACTCTGATTTAATTATCAATATACCTGCCTACAAGTTACAACTGCTGCTGCTGTGTCTGCCAGCGTTTCAGTCATGCGCACTTTGCGCATAATCCTCTAGACACCTCGCGCGTGCATAGACAATTTGTGCGCAACTGCGCCTAGTCACGGTATCGGTATTGGAGAAAACAGCCCGCAGGGGAACATAACCTTCAAGGTGCAAGTGTAGCCTAACTGTTTGAATAAATAATAAACATAGCAGTTTGAACTCCACACAGACCTCCAAAAACCCGCGACACTCCAGTAGCCTACCAAGTGCGCAGTCTGCACACGACCCATCTACGGCAAGCCCCGAGGGGAAAAATACATTGCATACACACATACAACGAGCGCCAAAACATCATTACCGGTATTATAGTAACAGACTTTCTTGGATTATGTCATGTAATATCTAACAAAGTCTCTTACGATAAAAATAATAATACACATAAAGAGGGTTATTCTGCACGACGTGCAAAACTTAAGCCCCGCATTGACTGTTGAAGAGAAGTGTGCTGAAGAGCTTGCATCAATGAGGGCTCTGCAAATTATATATACATACAAACACACACACACACACACACACACACACACACCACACACACACACACACACACACACACACACACACACACACACACACACACACACACACAAAGACAGAGAATATTATTGTCCTCAAACAAAGCACTAATCTGTTTATTTTTAAGTTACACATTCTACATTGACTAAAAACACGTTTGATGTTTCTTTTTTAATCACAGTATTATTGTATACAAAAAAAAAATGTTTGTAATTCAGATGAGAATGAGGTTAGTGTTTTACAATTTTAAGGAAAGCAAATATTGAAATATAGCACATGGATTTTAAATTCATTCAGCTTCAATTACCAATTTGTAGTTTACCAATTTGTCTTACTTTTATTTAAAGCAAACTATACATTTAAAAGATTAGGGTTATATGCATATTTTGTCATTTAAAAAAATACAAAATTGTTATGCAAAAAAATAAGGACCTACAGGAAAAATCTACAGTCAGCCACACACACAGACACCCACAAACACAGACACCAGCAAAAACCCCCCCTCCTCCTCCTCCTCCCCCACAGACACTGATAGAGACAAGATACAAATCCAAACTACAATATCTGACTTTCTTTTGGTCTGAGTTTCTTACTGTTTTTTATTTTTTTTTTTTCAATTAGAAAGTTGATTGGCTTTCTAACAATATACGTGGCAAGTTTTGTAACTGTAGGTAAAACGAGCAAAGTTCTAACACATTTTATGTGTCCTTTTTTAGTCATAAAATTCATTTCCTCGCCACGGCCAAACCGTTCGAGATATCAAAAATCTGTCCGGAATTGAGCATCCTCAATGTCTTGACTTCATGCACACCGAGTTTGGTGGTGATTGGTAAACACATGCGTTGTAATTTGATGTATTTCTCCTAGGAGATTTATTCAAACAACCCATAATTCCCGACTTCCATTTGAACTGTCGTAAAATTTAGAGCACGAAAGTTGTTTGGCCTGATGTGATCTATAAGTGTACCGAGTTTCATATTATTACATGCAAGTGTGTTGGACCAAATTTTCAGATCAAGTTTATGGACCAAGTTAATTTAATTACTAAACTAATTATATAAAACTATTGTCAATGCACTACAATTAAACTGGTTATATTATGCCTTTACTTATAAAAAAAAATTAAATAAAAACTTATTTAAAACATACCAGGCTTAAGAAATATTTTATTTTGTCCCCCGGCCACAGCACAAGGCGCCGCGAAGCCGTCGTCTCCCGCGATGGATAGATGGATGGATGTTTAGTGGCTTTTAATCTTTCAATTATCATATATATATGTATATATATATATATATTATATATATGATAATTGAAAGATTAAAAGCCACTAAAAGCCTGTTGTATCATATTTGCCATTTACATTAACATAAAAAAGTAAAATAATTACATAAGTAAATAATCATCATTACATATATTAATAATGAGTGTATACATATACAAACATTAAATTCAACAAAAAAAATGCTAAATAAATTTATCGGGTCTGTTCCCAATATGGTTTGGACTTTGACATTACTTACAACTCTAAGAAGAGTAATATAATGATTGTTAGAAGCAGGGTGGATAGTAAACTCTCATTTCCTGCATTTTATCTGTCTGGTACTTTACTGAAAGTGTGTGATGAGGTCAAATACTTGGGACATTATATCACTGATGACCTGTCTGATGATAGGGACATTATAAGACCAGTACTGTATGAATATATGCACAAGCTAATATGTTGAATCGCAAATTTAATATGTGCTCACTTTTTGTAAAGATTAGACTTTTTAAAGCTTTTTGTACTCCGATGTACACTGCTCACTTGTTGGCGGCGTTATAAAAAAAGTAGTCTGCAGAAACTCAAGGTGGCATATAATGATGGGTTGCGGTTGCTGCTTAAATTGCCACGAGGGGGCAGTGCGAGTCAATGTGTGTAAGTGTTAACGTATCCACATGTCCTGCTGTACTCAGGAATCTCATGTACAAATGTATGTGTAGACTAGCAGAGTCACATAACAGCATCATCAAAACACTAGTGAATCGGCATTGAGTGCTGTTAGGTTCACTTCTGGTTTGTGGAATCATTGCGTTTTTAGTTTGTATGTTAACATTTGAACACTTTTTTGTATGTATTGTAGAATACTGACTGTGTAGTCATTTTATAGAACTCTGTTCTTTTTTCTTCCTTTTTTTTCTCTCTCTCTTTCTTCCTTTTCTTTTTAATGCACTTTGTAATATTATGGTATATGTATAGGGCTATGGACCATCTTGTGTGTCCTGAATAAAGATTATCTATCTATCTATCTATCTATCTATCTATCTATCTATCTATCTATCTATCTATCTATCTATCTATCTATCTATCTATCTATCTATCTATCTATCTATCTATCTATCGATAATTAATATTCAATTTAATTTACATTAATAAAGTAGGCAATAATAATGTATAATAAAAAATCAAATTATATATATATATATATATATATATATATATAATAATAATATATATATATTGTTGCGGTCCCTGGTCTAGGTCAGACAGTAACATAAACACTAACACCAATTCCTTCAGTTAGCTTGAATTTATTATCATTCTGGATTTGTTTCAAAAGCAGCATTTCTTATCATTCACCAAAACAATATCTGGAAAATAAATTAACAAAGAAAACAAACAGGAAAAAGATTAGAAGCAAGATCTTCAGGGGTGAGCTAATGCCAAAATAATAAACCAAACAGAACTAGCTTTCCCCAAAGAAACTACCTTACCTATGAATTAAAATAAAAGAAAACAAAACATACAATGAAATACCCTACCTCCTTAACTACCAATAAACAGGAGAAAAACAAAGGCCTTTCAGCCTACAAAAGAAACAAGGTACTCACCCCCTACGGCTTCTCAAATAATCATACACATACAGATGAGATCATCAACACTGGCGTTTTAGCACAAATCACTCAGGATCAAAGAAACCATACAATAGCACATTAATCACACGATTGTGCTACATTTTCACAGAGCGCAAACACACAGTACAACCCCAGTTGCAATCAATGGCAGAGCGCCCCCTCTAGTGGTATTCCAGGGAATTTATGGTCCAGGCCTCTCCTCTGATCCAATCAAAATCAGCGTGTTGTTAGATCCAGGACCAATCCTAAAGGAGAAGGAGACAGCAGCAACAACAGCAGAACCAACATAGCTGCATTACACCACAACCGTAACAATATAAACATTCAAATTAACAATTAAATAAATAAAAAAATGATGTATGATAATTAACATTAACACGAGCATGAATAAATTAAATCTTTAAAAATACAATTTAAATTAATGTAAATCATATATATAGGCCTACAAACATTAAAATAATAATAAAAAATGAAAAAGTCATGTTTTTTTAAAGAAATATATGTTTTTTTGTCTCAGAATAAGATGGAAAATAGCAGAAAGTAGTGTCTAAAAAAACGTAAATATTAACTATAAAAATGTATGATAATGTTTAATAATATGAACATGAATACATTATAATTGGTATAATTAATATTTTAGCCTAGAAACATTACAATAACAACAAACAAACAATTATTAAAAGTCATGTGTTAGGAAAAGATCATGAAATTGTATTATTTGTGTCCTAATACGATGGAAAATATCAGGCAAAAGAGTCTTAAAATCAATTTTGGCGTCTTTCAGCACCCATACCATGCAGGATTTGACGTGCATGCAAAAAAAATAAACAAAATGTGCGGCTAGCTTGACCGTGTATTTTCCACGCGCGGCCCACTTGACCGCAGTAAAACAACGTATTACATCGACGTTAAACCACGTTAACCGTGTTAACCATAACCTTTTAAATACTCGACCTAGTTCCGTTGCTTAGCAACGGGAAGAAACTCCTGTAACTTCAGTGCCGGTTGCAACCCGGTATCACGACAAGACGTCAACCCGGTATCACGATAAGACGTGAAATAATCACGTTGGTCCACTTTTGGAAAACGTGTAGATGTCACGGTTTAACCCCCTCAAACGTGAAACTGAAACTTAAACTTACCATAATGACCTATTGGTTTTCATTAAACCGAGAAAAATGGGATTTTGTTTTATTGATGATGACTGAGAAATGGTCTATTATTTAAAATGCAAAAAAAATGCAAAAAAAAAAATTTTTTTTTATTAATTTTAAGGTGAAAAGGATTCATTTGATCCACGCCGAAGAAAACGTCTAAATGTCACGTTTTTAATGAAGCAGCCTAAATGAGTAAAATGTCTATTTTTCCGGCGTCCAGCTCCTCGTAAAGGGTACGCTAAAACAACGTATTACATCGACGTTAAACCACGTTAACCGTGTTAACCTTAACCTTTTAAATACTCGACCTAGTTCCGTTAGCAACGGGAAGAAACTCATCACGACAAGACGTGAAATAATCACTGTTGCAGCCCTTGGCTCCTTAATAAATGGCAGAGAGTCTCAAACGGGTGCAGTAATTTTATTCATCCAAATCAGCGTGAGCACCGTGAAAACTATAAGTAAACACAAATAGCTGATTAATGATCATTTAGACACACATTCGCAAACAAAATCCTCACCTCATTTACAGTACATCAAGATGCATTTTACAATGAAAATCAAGTGACCTTTGAAGTTATTTAAATAACAACCAAAGACAATTTTGTCCTACTTAACATATTCATGGTAGGGCCTACAAGATAAACAACAAAAATAATTTCCAATAACAGTCAAAATTTGACATTTTACATCCTTGAAGTCCTATTATACATAGAGCCAAATGATACACACCTTACTCCGCTCACCAAGGGTGCAAATTTTAGATTTGCTGCTTTTCGGAATTAGCCGCTAGCTTGAAGGTCTCTGAACTAAAACAGCACACACATGTGTGGAAATATAAGACAAAGCAAACTTCACCAAAAACGCATGAAAATGGAAATACATGAACTACTTAATATTGTAAAGTGAAGAGCACCAGGATTTCACAATTTACACAGTTTAAGAGTCAACTTACATGTCCCTGATCTTCGGAGATGAGAGAAGTCAGGCAAGTGCAAATTGAATTATTAGTTATAGACCATTTCACAAGATGTAAACAACACTGGTCCAGAAGCAATTCCTGTTTCAGTTTGTAACTGTTTTCTTTATTTCACATGTAAAGAAAACATCTTAAAGATGTTTGTTTAACTTTTTTGATTCAGTTTTAAATGTTCTGTTGGTTGCATTTTATCCCAGCTTTTATGTAGTGTTAAAAAACTGAAACAGGAAGTGCTTCTGGACCAGTGTTGTTTACATCTTGTGAAATGGTCTATACAGGTTCCTGGGTGCACAGCCTCAAACCCAGTCACATGAATGGGCTCTATGCACGGCGGTATTTCCGGTGAAGGTGTAAGGATGCTCGATGACTTCCGCCGATCGTAGAGTCCAATTCAATACCGAGAATTTATATTGAATTTTATACTCCATGGTTATACTAATAAAACGTTAGTCACAAAAACAGATAAAACAGACACCCCTCGTTGTGTTAATGCTTCTTTTTAAAATTATATTAAATAAACATAACTATATATAAAATTGCATCTAAACGCATGTACGTTTCATTTCAAAGACTGGAGGACAGTAAATTTTGAAGACTCTGCCATAATCCCGTTTTCCTCGGTTTTCCTCCGCTTTAATCTCCACAACCGGAAATGGACGAGCATCCTTGCGTCAAATGCGGAATTTATGCGTGCATATAGCCCATTACCTGACTGAGAATGCACTACCTCTAGCGGCCTCCAGTGGCCACTTACAATCACGTTGGTCCACTTTGGAAAACGTGTAGATGTCACGGTTTAACTGATAGTGATAGTTTAAACCAAACTCAAAACCATGAATAGGGCTATACTGCCCTCTTGTGTCAAATTATATTTCTATATTTATTTTTCCAAGAAATAAAACCCATCCAATACACCATTGTACTCATCAGACTCAGTGGCTCAGTTCCCTGATAGCAAACTGACATTGAATCAACGTGGAAACGACGTCTCTCATGACATTGAAACAACGTTGATTTTGCTCATCGAATTAACGTTGAACCAACGTCAGACGCGGCATTCTTCAAAGCTAAATGAAAATCGAAAATTGGTTTGCTTTCATAACGTTGAAACAACGCGTTGATTTCAAGTTGATTTTCCGTTAGTTTTGAAAGAATGACGCGTCTGACGTTGGTTCAATGTTAATTCGATGAGCAAATCAATGTCAGATCAACGTTGTTTCGATGTCATATTTCCACGTTGATTCAATGTCAGTTTGCTATCTGGGTTGATAAAGCTTTGGGCTTTAAGCAAGGAGACCCGAGTTCAAATCACATTCTTTCTCACATTAAATTATTGTGATTATATCAAACAAAGTGGCCAAAACAACGTGATTATATCAAACAAAGTGGCCGGTTGGAGAAATGTTGTTTTGGCCACTTTGTTTGATATAATCACAACAATTTAACGTAAGAAAGAATGGGATTTGAACTTAGGTCTCCTTGATTAAAGCCCAACGCTTTATCAACTGAGCCACTGAGTTTAATGGTGTGTTAGATGGGTTTTATTGCGGGTTAGGTTTTATGTGTTGGAAAAATAAATATAGAAATATAATTTGACACAAGAGGGCAGTATAGCCCTATTTATGGTTTTGTTAAACCGTGACATCTACACGTTTTCCAAAGTGGACCAACGTGATTATTTCATGTCTTGTCGTGATACCGGGTTGGGCACTGAAGTTACAGGAGTTTCTTCCCGTTGCTAAGCAACGGAACTAGGTCGAGTATTTAAAAGGTTATTGTTAACACTGTTAACGTGGTTTAATGTTGTTTTAGCGTACCTTTTGCTTAAACGAAGAGCTGGGGGACGCCGGAAAAATAGACATTTTACTCATTAGGCTGCTTCATTAAAAACGTGACATTTAGACGTTTTCTTCGGCGTGGATCAAGGCAAATGAATGCTTTTCACCTTGAAAATACTAAATGTTTTTTGTGTAACTCCTCACACCTGGGTCCTACTCGCCCCGCTCCATGCGGGCCTCCGGCGTGAGAGTCGGGCGCTCTAGCAAGGAGGCTAAAGACTGCAGCCCCTAGCGTCTGTCGCTAGAGCGCCTATTGAGATCGGGGAGTGAGGTTTACTCGCACAGCAACTACTAGCTGGCCTCCGTTACACTCACCCCCCTAAACCTCACTCTCATCCGGGTCACGGCACCAATGTAACCCCTTCACCCAGGTCCTACTCGCCCCGCTCCGAGCGGGCCTCGAACCCGGGTCTCCGGCGTGAGAGTCGGGCGCTCTAGCAAGGAGGCTAAAGACTGCAGCCTCTAGCAGTAAATTTTGAAGACTCTGCCATAATCCCATTTTCCTTGGTTTTCCTCCGCTTTAATCTCCACAACCGGAAATGGACGAGCATCCTTGCGTCAAATGCGTAATTTATGCGTGCATATAGCCCATATCATTGGTCTTAAAAAGTGGGTGGGTCTTGTCCCACCCATATACAATGGTTCCGACCATAGATATGTATATAAAGGCTAGATGTGTTACGGCGAAGTTTCCATCGTCATCACCGGCGGCCATCTTGTCACAGACAAGCTGATGTAAGATGGGTGGTCAGCACGAACACAAATACTCTTATCTCGTTGAAATCTTGACGGATTTAGCTACAAATGGTTCGGTTTCTTACAAACGTTATTAATGTGGCTATAATTATCTGGATGATTATTTATTTATACACTTTTTATTCATAAGTATGTTGTGTCATAACTACATCTCTGACGTTTATAACAAAACAAACCGTTTGAAAATCGGTAGAAAATTTAGCAAGTTATGGTCATTTAAATAGTACATGTAATGTTACGAGTAAGCGAGCTGCCTGTGACAAGATGGCCGCCAGGTGCAGACGTCGACCTCCATTGGCCAGCAGCGTGGACGACATAGCTAGCCTTTATATAGATATCTATGGTTCCGACGCCCATGATTGTATGTGGGCCAAAAATTCAGTGATCGATGTATGAATACGTCATTTTTGTCCTGAATACAGTTTTAAATAGAACTTGTGGTTTGTTTTTATCAAAATACTTAATATAATATGATAAAATATCACGTTTTTTAGACATGCACCATATTGTTCACTTGAAATACCTTGTAGAAGCAATGGTACTGTATACCATCTTGGCATACCAGCATCTTGAACTCATCCTCGAACTGGTGGTCACTGCATAGTTAGTCCAGCAGATGGCAGAACACTCCTATTAAAAATGTTTTTCTACTTCAGGGAATCGCTTATAATACACAAAAATGTTGTCAACCTGGTCATTACTCACCCTTAAGTTGTTCCAAACCTGTATGAGTTTCTTTCTTCTGTTGAACACAATATGTGAGTAATATCAGATGGCACCCATTGACCTCCATAGGAAAAAAAAACCTGAAAGTGTGCCTTCAAGTGTCTGATTTCACAATATTTAAGAAATATAATTTTATGTTCAACAGAAAACTCGTTCGGGGTGAGTAAATAATAACAATATTTTTGGGTAAACCGTCCCTTAAATATTGTTTTCAAGCGCGTATTAAAATTTGTGTAAAAAAAAAAAAAAGTGTATTAAAAATAATTTCTCAGTTTTAGATGCTACTTCATTTTAATCCGCCCTGGTCACGTCAGTCACACACGTCGATTGAAATCGCGGGAAACACCGTCGTGTTGTTCTCAGCTAAACAAACAGGGATGATGATACACAGACACTTTGCATCTTCTCACGCATAGTTTGACTAACCGATAGCCAAAACCCATTAGTTATGTTAAGGAAATTGACGTCCCGTCTGAAAGGTTAGAAACCCTTTATCATCACAGTCAGTGGGCACAACTTCTGTCTGGAGTTTGTATTGATCTGTTCGGGTTCACTGACGCTGGCATGTCATTGGAGATCATGAATGGCATGAACACATAATTCCACAGATTTCCCACACCGTCTGTTTGGAAAGAGCAACGCGTGCCACGTCATTCTGTCGGTGGATAGTTTCACAACATGGAACTTGTTAAGTGACCCAAACTCTATATGGAAAGAGTCATTCAAAATAAATACAGTAGTTAATAATTGAAGTGTATTAAAAAAGTTAAGAACGGGTATTTTTCAAAATTCATGTAGGCTATTTAACTTGTGAAAGGTTTTGATCCACTACTGTAAACATATTATGAAGAGCAAAAAAGGCCAAACGCGGAAGTGAGTTAGCATTTTAGCACTACCGGTTCCCTCGCTCTATGGGATTTTTGAATGCATGGCTTTTTGCTAAATTGCCTGAAATAAGGTCTGTGGTGAACAAAGCCTCTAAATATTTTCACGTTTTGATCTATGACATAAAACACACAGTTATAATAACCTGCTTGAGGTTTTTTAAACTGTATTGTGTCTGCTTGTGTTTTTTTAAATCTTTATATAGGCTTCAGGATTAACTTGTAAAGATTGTCTTGATAGACAAAACTCTTTGTTGAACACAGATCTTATTTTTTGCGATTTTCCAAAAGTCTATGAGGAAAATGCATAGCTTTTTGATCGAGGGAACCCATGCGAGTTCCGAGTTGTCATACAAAGTGATGTCATCACTTCGGCACTCGGCACATATAAATCTATGTCTCAGCTTTCAATTTCTTTCAATTTTATTACGAAATTCAAACAATAAATGTGGTTTTGTGGCTCATGGCTCTATAATCGGCATCTCTTTCTCTTTATTATAGTTTATAGCACAAAATAAACATGATGACACTTCAGAATGTTGGATGAAACAGTAGCCTACAATTTATTGAAATGTCTAATCACTCAGTTTCAACCGTGTAAAGACAAAAAGAAAAGTACATTCACTTAGTCTATATCACTTAAAAATTTAATATTAGCCTATAACGTTTTGTTTTTGTTTTTTCAGAGAGATTTTTTTTCCTTGAGAAAAAATTACGTGTAGCCTAGCCTATACTGTAGCGTATACAGTGTATATCCAAAAGAATCAACAGTTGGCAAAAGTTAGCAGCCCTGCAATTGTATTTTGGTCATAATCAAATGAACAGACATGAAATGGCATGTTCGTTACGTAACATTCATGCAATGGAAAAAAAAAAATATTTGCAT